GCTGTTAAAATTTAAATGATACTTATTAATTAAAAAATTAATCTTAATCGACAAGTATTCATTCGAGTTTTGAGAATAAATAATTCTTAACTGACATAAATTTTCTCCAATAATCTTTGATTGATATTTTCCTAAAATTTTATATATTTTAGTCTTCATTTTTTTTAATCAAATCAACATATATACATCTCATGTATAAACTAAATTAAGACCCTATTTCTGAATCCCCATGCACAAGGCCATAATCGTGAATTTGATCATGCTGCTAGTTGTTGTCGCGTTCTTTTTCTGACCTTTGTGCTAATTTGGGACGAACTCTAAATCATATTTATCATTAATTTATCTTCAAATTTAGTATATTACTTGAAAGCAAGTTATACATAATTTGTGGGTCAGGTTTATTTGGCTTGTTAATTTGCTGCCGCAAAACCATTCGTTGCGGGAAAGAGCTGGAGATAATTATTGGAACTTTGAGTGCTACATCAATGGTGACTTGTTAAATTGAATTGACTAATGGTATTATGAAACATGGACAATGATTTAGGGTCTCAAATAGTGGAGAATGGAAGATTAAAATGAGGTCCTTTCATGATATTTTCCTATATAATTAAAATTAATAATATTATCTGAAAAAAGGTATTTTTTTCATCTAATATATGAGATTTTGATGAACTATTGGGGGAATATTTTTTAATTAATTATAGAAGAATCATTTTTCCGCTATGCTTAGAAAGAAAAACTTAAAACATTCTCAAATACAAGAAAAAAAAAATTAAAGTTGTTATTTTTTACAACCTTCTAATTTTAAAAGTAATAAATATACCAAAAGAAAGTAAACAAAATCAGCTGTAGAAACTAATAAAGATGTCCATAGTCTAAACATACATCTATAGTCTAAACATACATCCCATCACCACTAGCACAATTTATGACATTTAAACCACCTTTTCTAAAACAGTTTTTGTGCAGATGGTTAATAAAATAGAAGCAGTGACATTTTGGTAAATAACTGACGAGGCAAGCAACTTTTTAAACGGATTCTTAACCAATCAAAAAGTAAAGTCTAGACTTAGATGCTTTTAATTTTTTTATTTTTAAATTAGCTGTTTTCTCTTTTCTAGACGTGTTAACTTGAATACTGATGTAGAAACGTTTAAAACTTTTGGCTAAAAATTTATTTTGGTCTTTCAAGACCAATTGTCTTTATGACTGGTTTTGAAATAATTAAAAATAATTATTTAACAGTTCTAGACTAGTTTCATCGAGCAAAAATAATAAGTTGGGATTCCTTTTCTAGCTCACACCAAAGAGGCCAGGAACACTCCCAAGTTGAGACATGCATACATATTCGAGAGGTTTACCAGAAAGGAGGGAAAAAAAGTGCTACATTGCACCATATATTCATGAGTTAAAAAAAAAAAAGGTTTGCATTTCATAGTGATTATGTTTTAAATTTACTTTCTCTAATCCCTAATAATGTTTTTCTATAGTGGCTACTTGTAGTTGGCGCTTCTTGCTATAAAGAGCTACATAGTCCTCTTCTGGTAATCTTTTCACTATAAAGTTGAGAAGGATTAATCTAAAGAAGACAATGAACTAGTAAGCATCTTTCTGCAAAAGTTGAAGCTTCATTTGTGACTTTGATAAGTGATTGACTTTGTAATAATTTTGAAGATAGAGCTAATGAGGATGCACCAACTTGCTCAAAGACCCTACATGGATCACATTAAAGATAAGACTTTACATGTTTGTTTGTTTGTTTGTGATATTACACAAGACTTCATTCACCTAAGAGGTAAATGTATTTTTAAAAACTTTTGTGCTATTTTTTTTTTCAACTGGAATTGCTAATATGATACTCTAGTCTTGCCCTTTTAGATGTTCAAGTTTACTGGGCCATTTTTTGAAAAGCATATCAACGAGATTAAGCAATGGTGAATAGAGCATTTTATGGATCGGAGCTCAATTGTATTAGTTAGTGTAGAAATTGTAATTGTTAGTTTAGTCATCACTACTAGAAAAAAACGATTTAGCAAGGAAGTGGCATTGCAAAAAAAAAAAAAAAACTTACTAAATTTAGTAACAAACATTTTCTCGCTATTTTAGTGAGGTATATAATCCTTTACTAAATATACCTATATTTAAAAATATGTTACATATTTATTTTAAGATCAAAACTTGAACCTTTGACCTCATACCTTTATCAAACTTTGTGTTCTCTTTCTTTGCCAATTAAATTAAAATGCAGTTACAATCATTATATAAAAAATTAAATATATACTATTTAACTATATAGATATATCAAATAATATATTATAAAAATGTACAAGTATTTTAAATTTTATTTTCAATTATTAATATGTGAAAAATATTTATATTTGTATTTATATGACTCTTTATATTATATATTTTTTAATAAAAATATTATTTTTTAAGGAAAATGAATTTAAAATAAAGAAAATATTAAATATTAAATAATTTTATTTTGAATATTTTAGTTAATTTTTAAATTTTATTTTTATTTTTAAATAAAAATAATTAAATATATAATTAATTAAAATTCATTTTCAATAGTCAATTTTTTTGTAGTAATTAGCTAGGGACATAATCTCATACTAATTATTTAATTTTAGAGAGAGATTCATCAGTCTCTAATTTTCTCACTAATTATCTTATTTTAAAGAAAAATTGACAGTCCGTTGTTATTTTTTTAATAGTGTATTTTCTGACTTGAATTGTTAGTTATTTCAATAATAATGTTAGAGTTTAATTGTTAGAACTTGATTTCATTTTGTACATAGTTTAGATTTAAATTGAATTTGATTTGAATTAGATATTGAATTGTTGAAAGGTTTATGTTATTGTTTAATTATATTTTTAATACTGGACTCGACTGGTGGTTGTATATCTATATTTTATTGGGAGTGATAATTGAAAATGCTCTGTAAAATAGGGGATTAATGAAACAGTTAAACAAAACTTTTTTAAAAAAAAAAAAGCTCATTTTCTAAACTCGCTGTAACACTAACCAGTTTAGAAGTAGACTTTCTAAACTTGTTATAAAGGCACAACTGATCTAGGAAGTGGAGATTTTCTAAACCCATTGGAACACAAAACCGGATTAGAAAGTATATTTATTCTATCGTGGTTCTTCATCAAATTTTATCAACTCTAACTTTTTGGATTGCTCTAAATTAGACTAAGATAGCTCAACTAGCCATTCCAATTCAACTTTTGTAACATTGATATTAATGATGGAACAAAATAATATACTATAATTATTTTTCATTTCATAATTAATTTTTTCTTGCAACAGTGATGTCACGCAGCACTTCTTATTTAGTGGGTCTTGGCTTATTGGAAACATGGGCCCTATACACTTTGACATATTTAAGGGAGAATAAAATAATAGGTTCTAAAAGAATTAATTAATTCAATTAAAATTTTAAATGTTAAACTTCAGAAATTTATAAGTTTGTTTTTCAATTTTACAATTTTATTGTAATAAATTTGTAACTTATTTTTTAGAGTCTAACTTAATTAAAAAATAAATAAATTTATTTTTCTGTTAAAATTTGAAACATAAATTGTAAATTTATCATAATGAAATTATAAAATTAAAAATTAAACTTAAAATTTAACACAATAAGTTGAATTAATTAATTTCTTTAAAACCTATGTGTCATTCTCCCTTTGTTTAATTTTCAAACTTTAAGTACATATAAGTAAATTCTCTTCTTAGATAATGATGCTGTCACCTTCTTTGGATACCTACATGTGTGTCCATGGGGTTTTGGAATAATTAGATTAATTTTATTTCTGATTCCTAATCATGACACAAAAGTTGATGATATGCTTTGCAAAAGTAAAATATTATTCCTTGTGAGTCCTTTCTAGGTATTTGCATATAATTAATCACACCATGTTGTCGATTATTATTTATTTAAATATTAGTAATACCAACTGATAAAGAAATGATTACCGTATGATGCATTTAATCTTCTGGGTATCTTTCTAAGATAAAGGAGAAAACATAATTTAATGAAATTAAAGTTCAGGTTGGCTAGCTTTACAGTCAGCTGCATTAAACTTTCCTCAAGATGTTGGAATCTAAATCAAGCAAAAATATCATTTTTCTTAAACTTTATTATTTCTGTAATTAGAGAAAAATATATTAATCGATGCCCTCCAATAACTCTTCCTGATTCAGTAAATATCATTCACAGTAATAAAAAGAGAGTTTTCATGGTTTTTTTAGTAATTACTGATATCTTAATTAGGTGAGATTACTAAATAATCCATCCTGGTTAGTCCTAAAAAATTGTAGTATCATAAGCCTCTTTCACTTTTATGGTGATTAAAGATATCTTTAAATTTTATGTGAGTTAAATTCTTTCCCTTTAGGCTAAATTCACTGACCTGAACCAAATAATTATATAAATTTTAATGATATGTCTTAGCATGATTTGTTTGAATATACTATAATACCCTGAACTTATAACGAAGAGGCTGATCTTATCATAAGCATATTATTTTTTCCTATGCTTTTTCATTTCAATCGAATTAATCTCTACAAAAAAAAAAATGTAAACCGGGAAAAAAGAAAAAGAATAGTAACACTCTAGAGTCTAGATCATATATATATATATATACACCCTTTCAAAGATTAAAGATTAAATCATTATCAACTTTTTTAAAATGGGTTCTCTACTTGAAAAAGTCCAAAATTTATTATTCTCTCTATTCTTAAATTATAAGATACTTTAAAATAAAATTTTATATATCAATAAAATTTATTAAATACATTTAATAACTTTATTTTTTAAACAAAATATTAACTTTTAAAAATATCATAATTTAATATATTGAAAAGAGAGGGACAACAATCAAATAGAGAGAGAAAAATATATTGAAATAATTAGTCTATTAATAAAAATCTTAATATTATTAAAGTATTTTATATTTTGAAATACTAAATCTCTTCTAAAAATATCTTATAATTTAAGACAAAAGAGTCTTTTTTTTTATTATTTATTTTTTCACACACAAGACAAGTAGTTTCTAATAGTTTTCCCAAAGAAATGGCTCCTCAAGCCTGAAACCACTATCAACTGCACAAAAATTCCAAGAAGAAGAGGAAGAAGAAGAAGCAGAAGAATAAGAACAAAGGCCATTGTTGCCATCAGTGAAAAGATCTGGTAAGTCAAACAAAGCCTCGTCTTCCTTAGACCGGTCTCGAGTAATTGAAGATGAGGCCGGCTCGGCTCGGACCGGTTCAGCTGACTCTGGTTTGTCGGCTTGACAATGCGTTTTAGCAGCCACCACCACCTCAAAGACACTGGTGGCAGCCTTTGCGGCTGCAGCTTGGATGTCCTTAGGAGCAGTGGTGGCCGGCCGGGGAAGCTCCGGAGCCAAGTGAGGGAAATTGAGGTAAGCCGAATGACCTTTGATGGCTAAAGCGGCGACGTCGTGAGCTCGAGCCGCCATTTCTGCAGTTGGGTAAGTTCCAAGCCATATTCTGGATTTCTTCCTGGGCTCACGAATCTCAGAAACCCATTTTCCCCAGTTTCTCATCCTCACACCTCTGTAAGCTGGATGCTTATTATGATTGTTATTGTTATTCTTTTCGTCACTACTTCTGATCTGCAGCTTCTTGTTGCAGGAATAATCATCAACATTCAGATGATGATCTGATACACTTTTTGATGAGTCTCCCTTGGTACCTGCAGAATCTGATGAGTTTGAAGACGATGATGAAGATGATGGTGAAGAAGATAATGAAGATGAAGAGAACGAGCCAAAGATGTCCTGGGCATCACTTTCCATGATACGTTTGAGAGAGAGAGAGAGAGAGAGAGAGAGAGAGAGAGAGGTTTGATTGATTAGTGCTACAGAAAGAATGAGTGGCAGTGAAGGCGCATACAAATAGAGAGATGGGATCGTTTGGCTCTTATGATTTAAAAAAAATTAATTAATTGCATGTATTTTGTTTATAAAAATTGACTTATTCAATAATAATGTGATATTTAAAGTTGGAAAAAAAATATTTCCATGTCCTTATATTCTTCAATTTTAAATTAATTTTTGAAAGTTTATTTTATTATATTCTAGTCCTTATAATTTGATCTATTAAATTTTTTAATTTTTTATAGTTAAAATCCTTGAATTTTTTCTTTAAAAAAATAAAATTAAAAAATTTATATTTTTGTTAAAATATTATATAAATTTAAAAATAATTTCATTATTTTTATAAGTGAAAATTTATATAATTATTCTAAATAATTTTTATACATATAGAATTTTCATAATAAATTAATAAAAATTTAAACATTGTATTCAATCAAATTTTATTTTTTCTTGTTCGGCCAAAAGTAATTGAATCAAATTTTCTATAAACTCTAAAAATTTTTTCTTTAAAAATTTAATCATTCTTAATAATTTTAACCTTTAAGAATTAACATGGAATAGATCAAATTATAAGGACTTGATTAAAATAAAATAAATTACAAAGATCTAATTTAAAATTAAGAAAAAAGTATAAAATCTGGAGACTAATTTTCCCTTTAAAGTTTAATAATACTTTTTCTAAACCAGAAAATGGATAGAAGACAGGTAATATAATATCTCACGCGGCTAAATGGTTATTTCTTTTTCTTTTTTTTCGGCCAGAGGCTAAATGGTTATTTCAATAAAATAAAGCTTAAGTGGTTAATAATATATTGAACCGTTTGGAGATATTATTTCTCAATAAAAAAAATTTATGAGAATATCACCATCAACATATTACACTTTCATAATGAAATAATATATTAATTAATAACATGGAAGTTACCTTAATTATAAAGTTTAAGGGGGATTCAATGTCAAATTATATGGTTAAAAATTAGTCTGTACTTTAAAGGAATTTGTATAATTAATTAAAATATAGGAAGATGAAAAAAGAGGACATAAAAAGGAAAAAGCAGAAAATAAAAAAAAGGAGAAAAAAGGAAAAGGAAAAGGAATATAGACAAGCAATAGGACATATTAGTAGAGTACAGTTCGGCTAATTTGTTTCAAGCCCATGTGGGAATTGAATATTTCATGATATATATATATATATATATATAGATTGAGATATTTGCACCTAATATATTACTGAACCTTGGTCTATTTTCAATGTCCACATTATGTAGAAGGCATGAATTTCCTATGTGTTTGGGGAATTACATGTGTTTACACAGTAGAGAGGAAAATATTGCTTAACAAAGGGGTGCAAGTGGTGGGGTCACACTGTTTCATTTTCATCCATGATTTTCACATGGATGCTCCCCGCTTTTTCTTCTTTATATATCTAAGCTTTTTTTTTTTCTATTTTTTTGAAGAAAGCTTTTTTTAATGTATTCGTGTGGAATATGAAAACAATTGTGCTTATTATAATTTAGAGTAATTAAGATACGCTCACCTCTTCTATTTTGCTAAAATTACAAAGACTTCCCATTTGTTTTTAAAACTTACACTTTAATCCAATTTTTAAAATTGTTAAGTATATTCCATTAAATATTTTAAAATACTTCATTTTTAAATTAGAATTATATCAATAAATTTAAAATTATATACGCACTTGTAATCTAATTGTCTACTCTCCCCCAATTTAAGGAACTTCAAAGAATTATATATTGCAATATTTTAATAATTTTTTTAAAATGTTGTATTAAAAGTATAAAATTTATAGAAAAATAAATAGACTAATTTATCTCTCATTATATTAAATTCTTATTTCAGTAATCTTTTTACATACATGTTTGAATCAAATATTCTTTTAACAAAATTATTTATTTAATTTTTTAAAAAAATATTAAATAAATAAGTTTGCATAACCCACAAATTTTAAATATGAATAAAAAAGATTAAAAAGTGTATCTATTAAATATTTTTAGTAACTTAAATGATCTTTAAATAACATTTATATTTAAAGAGGGATATTTTGGTCCAATATAGGTGACTTAACAATCAATTAATGGCTAATTTTGCATGATGGAAAATAGGAGGATAGAAATGAATATGAAAATGGAATTGAAAATTTTACATATTTGGTTAATTAAAATCATGTTGAATTGGGCTTTTATATGAAAGCCATTTCCATCAAAATTTATGAAATTGGGTTCCATTTTCTCAAACCCTATGGATCCCAAATTCCATGAACCTTCTAGCATCACATTCCTCATCATACCCTTACTCCATCCCTAACCTCTATCATCCCCTTTCCTCCATCCCCAACAGCACAATTGGTTACCAAAGATGTCATGGAGTTAAAATCCACCATTTTCACCGGCTCTGGTCTTCAAAGGGCAAGGAATTTTGCTTTTGATTCATGATTTTCACCAAGCAAAGAATATGATGATGAGGATGTGACAGTGTTGACGGCGAGGTTGTGACGACTGAAGCTTAGATTCGTCTTCTTCCCCACTGTCTTTGAGACAACAAATCTCCAGCTTCAACCAGATCTTCAACGCCAACGGCTCCAAAAATCTCCAACAAATCTCCAGCATCGACTCTTCATCCATTTTCAATTGTTGTTGTTGCTGCTCTAAAAAGCTCTTTGATTTGTGTTGTTGATGGACGGTGTTGGCGTTGTGGACTAGTGTGTTCAATGGTGGAGGGTTGTTTTGTTAGTCTACTGTTTCTTTTTGAGTAAGGGTATTTTGGTCTTTCAACATTATAAATATAATGTTTTTATAAAAATTATAGTAAGGTAAAATATAAGGAAGGTCAATGTAATTTATTCTATAATTTATAAATAACGTGACTTGTTAACTAATAATACCGCTCCCTTGTTAATTTGTGTCCATTATTTCCATATTATTTGGGTCCAAAAATAAACTAAGGCCAAACTATTTTACACAAGAGATAAAATATTTAAATGAATTGAGTCTGATTAATTAAAAAAAAAACCATGTCTTTGTATGAGCTGAATATATCTTTATTAATAGGACTAATATCCGCACCTAACTCATTTTAATATAATGAATTCATTTTACTAAAAATTTAATAAGAGATAAAAAAAAAAAGTATGCTATAACGTACTGGATTCGAGTTAGTAGATTTAGTTAAATTCGATTAAATTTAAAAAAATCAATAAAATTCCTTAAAATCAAAAACCGGTCAGAACAAATTTGGACTAGCTTTTTTTCTGGTTTTTTTTTTCCTTTAGGACACCAGCTTTTCACTTTTTAATGTCTCATCTTTTTGTATCCTAACCAAGGTACTAAAAACCGGACCGATCATTGAACCGGCCACGGTCGAGGGTCAGGGGTTCAACCGAAGGTCAACCCGGATTCAAATCGGATATAATATAATAATATGATTTAAATAAAAATAAATTCTGTAAGACTTAATATCTTATATAATATCACATACAAGTCCAACATAATTATCAAAACATCATTGAAAACACAACATTTAAAATATTCATCCTTACAATCCTTTAATCATCAAAAAGTCTAAAGCTAATAATAATCAACACCAAAATCCTCATTAATTTCATTCAAATCTCTGGGAGTAAGGATTGAAACATTAGGAGATGATTGAGAGAAACCAGAACCACTTCCAACATCGTCATTCAAATGTGGATGCTCTGAAATATTCATATCTTCTTCACCTATTTATGACAAAAATTAACATTAATCATTGTGTAAAAAATAATTATATATTATGCAATATATACATGTTAGTAAGTATGAACCTTCATTATTTCTCTCAGAAGCTGATGAAGCTACAAGATTCTCATTATGCATAGCACTTTCCAAATTAGTGACATCATCAGCATCAAACTCTGGAGCTAGCTCTTGTTCCTCTTCAGCAATCCAAAAGTCCAATTTGTCAATAGATTCATAATCAATTGGATCAAAACTTATCTTTTTCTTCAATTGGCTCCTTTAATGAGATCAAAACAATCAAATATAAGTATATATCTACCATGAGATAGTAATAAAATTTTTATTTATTAAAAACATTCATAACTTTTATTTTTATTACCTATGCTTCAATCGTAGATTGTAGTTTGTAAAGACTAAATCATTTAGTCTTTGATGTTCCAATCTATTTCTTCTTTTGGTATGGATGCGTTCAAACAAGCTCCAATTTCTCTCACAACCAGAAGAAGAAGAAGTTTGGCTAAGAATACGCATTGCAAGATTTTGCAACTCTGGAACAGAACTTCCATAAAACGACCACCATTCATCTGCAAATAAAAAACAATTAGTTATATATTATATGATAAATAAAATTACCATGATCATGTTAAATATTAACACTTACAAGGGTCTAGCTTCTGTGCTACTCTATGACATAAAGTTTTATCAAAAGATTCTTTATGGTCACGATACAAGGTCAACTGCTTCATCATCACAATATAATCAACATCTTCATTTTCAGTTGACTCAAATACTGAAAGCATAGCATCCATTAACCTTCTTTTGTGAACAAAGTCATCATCATACAAGAAGGCAGGGTTTAAGAAATATGCTGCTGCATGAAGATTGGTCTTTAAGTGCTTATCCCATCAGGCTTGGATAATATCTGTGTAAGGCTTGTATTGGTCTTTCTTGTTGTTGAAGATTGCTTTAATTGCTTTTTTTGCCCTTTGCATGCCTTCATAAACATAAGGCAAAGGAGGCTTCTCATCTAAATCAACAATTCTCAACAACTTTATAAGAGGAGACACAATCTTCACAACTTCAAGACATTCATTCCAAAATTGATTATCTAATATGATGGCACTAACAATTATTCCGACTTCAATCCTTGATAATTTGTGATTCACAAAATGCTTATCAGTGATTAAAGCTTGCAAGTCATGCTTATGCATATATATGCTATGCAATGTGATAAATGTTGTAGCAAACCTTGTCACACCAGGACGCACAATTTCTTTCCAACCCTTTCTTTTTCTGAGCCATGACAGGAAGACCATATGATTATAAACAAACACAGTGATCTTTGATGCCTTTGTTGCAAGTTGTGACACATGAGACATACTTGCAATGTCTTTCAAAGTAAGATTCGAGCAATGAGTAGCATAAGGTGACCAATAAATACTTTTATATTTCTCTTTAACCAACTTTCCACATGCTACATAAATAGCAACATTATCAGTCACTACATGCACAATATTTTTAGGACCAACGCACTCAATCACTTCAGAAAACAATAAGAATAAAGTCTTGGCATCTTTCACTAAATTAGAAGCATCAACAGATTTCACAAATACTATGCCATGTATAGAATATACAAGAAAATTTATCAAAGTTCGTTACCTTACATCTGTCCAACCATAAGCCATGAGTGTACATCCATAAGTTTTTCATTTAGATCGATGACCCTCAATAAGTAGCTGACATTCTTTTTTCCAATTATTCAACAAGTTAACTCTAAATTTATAAGCTGTAGGACCCTTAAACCCCGACCCAATTGAAGCAATAGCATCCACAGCTTTTTGAAAAAATGGGCAATCTAATGCATTAAATGGAATGCAATTGATGATAGCCCATTTAGCAATGGCCATTTTTGCACTGTGTTGTGCTTCTTTAGTTGCAAATGCACTCTTAATGCCTGATTGGGAACCTGGAGTTGTCCTAAAGGCAAAATAATTTTCAACTAGCATAGTAGGAGGTTTCTTTTTACTAGCACTATTCTCAGGGATTGACTTAGATGGAGCAAGTGCATTAGGTTCATTAGCATTAGACACATGTTCCTCCATGTCTACTTGTACATCAACAAGCTTTCTCTTTTTCCCACTTTTTAATGATTCTTGCATCTAATGACGAACATCAAAAGGAACTTTATTGCAAGAAACTACATTTTCACTTACACCAGCAAGATGATGCTTCAATCTATTTACTCCACCTCCTTTATAGCTCAATGCACAATAAAGACATGTATACACATTTTTGTTGCGCTTTTTTCTTAAAGCAACATGTGCCCATGCAAATAAGAGTAACATAAAGCTCAAATTAATTTTCAGCAATCAGAGCAAATCAAAATACATACAACAATCACAAACAAGACTTAGAGTTCAGACAGAGCACAGCATTTGAATTCTAAAATGAGAAGAGGTTCTCGCCTTCTTGGTTTACGGATTCAAATAGAGATGAGAACATGAAGCTTGGATTAATTTTCAGCAACCAGAGCAAATCAGAATACATACATAAGTCACAAATGAAGCTCAAAGATACAGAGCAACATGATGCTCGAAGATACAGAGCAACATGAAGCTCAGTTTTATGGTTTGATAAATCATAAAGTTTATGGTTTGAGTTCTACGAACTAAATTGAGCCAAGGGGCCATGACCGATGATGCCAGAGCTCGGATGTCATTAGTATCTTTCTTAGTTTTCTTGACAAAAAATATATTTGATTATTTTCTAAGTTTCTAACTCTAATTCTAAATTCTTATACTGTCCGCAGCCACTGCCAGTGACTCACGCTTTGCAGTTGGCAGAGACTGTAACATTGCAACTCACAAATTCAAACACCTTCTCGGACCACATTAAACTCCTTGAGATATCATTCTATCCACAAGCTCGCAGAGGAGAGAGAGAGAAAAGCATACCTGAATCAAGTGGGGGGAGAAAGAGCAACTACTTGAGAGGCTCAGACGAACCATTGAAGCTCAGGCAAGATTCAGACAGAGCATAACATTCATCGTTGAAGCTTTAAGGCAGAAATAAGAGATGAGATGAGAGACGAGGGCAAAGCTTCGAGGCAGAGATGGTCACAGGTTCAGCATCTAGATTCAGCCAGAGATGAGACGCAAGGAAGGCGAACCGGCAAAGTTCAAACTGAGACTATGTGAAATGCGTTCAACCTTCATTTTCGTTCAGAGCTATCAGCTATGGCTTCGCCGCCAGAATATGAGATTCAGAGATTGAGACGCAGTCACGCAGAGCAGTAGAGGACAGAGACAGACTTACACTTAGCTTAGGGCTTCTAATTTCCTTTTAATTTTTATTTTTTTAATAGTATGACCCCCAAAACGATGTCATTATCATTTTGGGGGTTAGTTTCTTTAAAAAATAATAACCCGCCCAACCCGCTAACTCGGGGGTCAGGGCGGGTTACTCGAGTTAATCCTGGGTCACTCAGGTTAACCCAGATCACATGAGGCTACTTTGGCCATTTGAATCAAACCAGACTAGTCTCCAGTTCGCTGGGTCACCGGTCGGACCGGCCGGTTCGGTCCGATTTTTAATACCATGTATTTTTTTCTTGGATAAATGCTCATGGCCATGGGACACTTGGGCATAAGGAAGTGGAAAATTGGAAAAATTAGGGAGAGAGATATAATATTACTAAAATTTATTATCAAAGATCATAAAAATTAAAATTAGGATGAAAGACCAACGTAAGTGTAATTGACTATTATAATCTTAGTATTAAACCTATTAGCCATAAAACTAACATGGGATACTACCCAAGTTACAAAAGTACTCTTTTAAAAATAAAGGACAAAAGAGTAAAAATACCTACAAAGTCATTGGCTAGAAGCATCCAATAGCTTAAAGTGAGGAAAAAAAAGATAAAAATTCCTATAATGTTACTTAAATTGGTGTAAGAGTGGTCAATCCATTAAACCCCTTAAACATTGATCGTTTAGCTGACAGCTAAGCAGATGTGAATTTTTTTCACTGACATAGACTAAAAAAGAGGCAAAAATATCCATTAAGTTATTAGCCAAAGACATTCAATAGCCTAAAGTGAAAAGGAGAAAAATGCCCATAACATTACTTTAATATGTGCAATGGCAACTAATCCGTCAAATAATGTATTTCAAAAATATGTTATTTCAAAATACATCTTATGTATTTAATTTCATGATTTTTATTTTTTATTAATTTAATAAATAATTAAAATATATTTCAAAATATTAATATGTATCTTATATAAATTTTACCCCCAGTGACAAAATTTTCCAGGTCCATCACTTTTGTCAAATGTACCCTACATTAGGGGTGTAATTAATAAAATTTTTAATTAAAATACCCTATTAAATAAGGAAAAATGTAAAAAAGTATATAATTTTAAAGATAATTAACTTATTCATTAAAAGTATAAATTATTATTTTAAAAATTAAGTAATTACTTAAATATTTTTATTATTTAACTTATATATAACATTGGTTAATATTAGTTTAAGTATACTGAGCTTGCAATTTTATAGTGTTTCTATTATACGTATAAAAAATACTATGACTTAACTTTATTTTTTAAAAAATATATAATTCGAAATGATTTTTATCTTATGATTTTTTTCATATTAGAAAAATATTTTAATGTAATTTTAATTCTAAATATTAATTTTTTTAAAAAATATCAGCATATATGATACTCCCTCTATTTAAAATTATAAGTCATTTTAATCATATTTTACCTCAATAAAGTAATTACTTACTTTCAAACTAACCCTATCTTTTCATATTTACCCTTATTAAACACTCTATAATAAATATAAAGTCATTTATTAATAGGGACATTTTAAAAAAAGGCAATGATTATATCTCAAAAGACTAAAAATATTTTATATTTTTTAACATCTAACTCGTCAAAAAATGTCTTATATTTTTAAATGAAGAAAGTAATTTTTATTAAAATTTTCCCCTCCATTCAACTTCTCAGTGATACATTGATGAAGACAAGTAAAAGGTCCTAATTGATTCATTTTATTTTTATTTTCTATGTAATTTTTATTTAAAAAATATTTTAGGATTTAATGGATTATTAGAAAGATTTAAAGGATTATTTGGATAATTTGAGATATCAAATGATGTGAACCCACCTAGAAAATACACTCGGAAGTCATGCTTTTGAAAACTAAAACAAATAAAGTTGTTGATCAATGAATTAGAACTCTAAAAGAACTTGGTTCTTATATTCCTAATTATAAGGATGGCACCATAAGAGGAGATACACATCTTTATAAAAGTCCTTGTATTCAACTATTAACACAATTTCACAAGCAAGAATATTCAATTTGCAAAGAAGTTAATTTTCATCCTATTCTCTTACTAAAAATGTGGTTTACAGCATGAGCCTTTAAATAAGTCAAGAATAATCCTAACCAAAGTAAGACTCTTTTAAAACCCTAAAAAAACTCTAATTGAGATAGTTGATCCCACAAAGGCAATTAATGGACATCCAACTAAAAAAAGGAAAAATGAATAATAAAGTAATTAAAAAATAATTTACTCAATTTGATATATAAATAATATTCTAATTTAAATAAAATAAACTTTTAATAGCTTTAAAAAATTATTTTGATAATTCAAAATATTAATAGATTATTTAAATCTTCCTAATATATAATCCATTAAATCCTTAAAAAAATTTTTAAATAATAAAATTATATAGAAAATAAGAATAAAATGAATTAATTAGGATTCCTCTTAAATAAGATCTTTTACTTGTCTTCATCCATGTACATCTAATAATAGAAGTTGAATACTTCATGAATCATCACTTGAAGAACAATTGTCCCATGGCAGGCCACTTGATGTGCGCTGTACTCTTTTTTTTTTTTTTTTTCTTGAGCTTCTCTCACTTTGTAAGTTACAAAATTACCGTCGTGACTTACATCAAATTATCTTGAAAATATTTTTATTTCCATCTCTACCCATAATAAAAACCCTAAATGTGAAATTTATATATTCTCTCTCTTGCTTTCCATTAGAAATTAACAAGGACATTTTTAGAATAACAATATTAATAATTTTATATTTTGTATTCCATTCCTTAAAAAATGACTTAGATTCTGACCAAATGTGTGTGTGTATTTCACAAACTTTCTGCAATACATTAATCCATTTCTAGGATTTTATTCTTTTGAAATCTTAAATTAAAATATAAAATTTACCATGCAGTTGTATTTTAAGTGTTGCAGACCTAGACTTGTAGTTAGTTTGCATACACTAAATCAATATCACTCTATAATCAAAGCTTTTTTAAATATAATTATAATTATAATTATAATCATAATTGTTGTTGTTGGAATGTCCTTTTCAACTTGACTACACTGTCTCAACCTGATCTGGACTTCTCCCATAGACTATTCCAAACTTTGTTGTTAATATATACATTAATTGATCATTGATTGATCTCTTGTGAGATATCATAATACTAACTAATTCAATCCACAACAATTTAATATTTATATTCTAGAGAACAGCGACAATAAAATTGGGACTATTGCCTTAACATGACACCCTTCTCGTGAAGCTTATGTTTATAATATATTTTTTAAAAATTGAGGGTATAATACTTTCAAATTTTATTAAGTAATAGTTTCTTGTACTTGTCTCATAAGAATGTCGGACTCACGGGATTTCAAATGCTTGTGGGGTTTGGTAACAAGGGAAAAAAAATAATTAATGTAACACACATAAACATTATACTTTTTATGTTTTAAAATATCTAACACTTTGAAGTGTTTATTTTTTATAATTATTGCCACTTCAAAATTTTAACGAGAACTAATGCTCCTCCTATTCTAAATTATAAAACATATTTGAAAATTATGTCTTTGATATTTTAAAATATATGACACTTTGATTAAAAAAATAAAGTTTGATTAAACATACTTGCTCCAATATTACCCTTCTCTTCTTATAGTATTTTCTCTCTATTGATTATATAAAAATAAGGTTTTATTAAATGAAGAGTATTTTTTAAAATTTATATTTATATTTAAAAAAGATTGTAAAATAT